CCCCTATAGAACGACATAGTAAACATGAAAGTCTCAGGGTGGTTGAAATACAGGATGTCACTGAAGATTGGCATCTAGGGWTTTTTGTCATTATATTTGAGTAGAATGGTCTAGGGGCAGTTCTTCCCTTCAATCTGCTTCACTAAAATAGTATTCTTTTTAAMAAGACATTGATGAATGCAAAGAGAAATCAACAAGCTGCCCAGCAAACTCAAAGTGTWTCAACACTATTGGTTCATTCCACTGTAACTGCTCTGAAGGTTACGATAGGACAGAAAATAACCAATGTGTAGACATTGATGAATGCCAAGCCTCTCCCTCCCCCTGCTCGTCAGGTTTTGTCTGTCATAATATTCTTGGTGGCTACAAGTGTCAAGACATTGATGAGTGTCTATCTAAACCGTGTTTTGAGGGAGAGGTCTGTGTCAATACACATGGCTCTTTTCGATGTGAGATTCCAAAGAGGGGTGAATTTGAAGGTAAGCAAACCAGGAGTCTGAACTAAACGTTTTCTATATGAATTCACTTHTCAAAATAATTATAACAATAATAATAATAATCAGCCCTGTAATTAGTGCTCATAATCACAAGTAACATAGATTATTTTCAAAACAAATATCAAAGCTTTTAATCAGTAGCGCATTATCACCCTCGTAATTTGAGTGCCCTGACGCCYGTTGTATCCTGGAGTACTGGGAGAGATATTGGGTATCATTGTATAGTTTCTAAGCATAGTTTTCATTCAATTAGATCTTATATCYGTACCATCACCTCCTACAACTCAAGTAGTGACAGACATCAAGGAAGATATACAAACTCAGAGCAATGCTCATCAAGTCTTTTCAGTACCACACGTCAAAGCTCTGTCATTATCCACGCAAGGCAACTGGAAGSTTATTGGTGTAGTTGCTTTTACTACAGTGTTGAGTTTCAGCAAGTTGTAAACCACAAAATACCAATCATTGATATAATTACTCAAATCAAATAAAACTCTGAGGCTTTGAGCAATAGTGACTGACCATGACATCAGAGTGCCACTCTGTAAAGTGGTCATCAATCACTAYGTACTTGAGAAATGTTGAGAATAGGAAAAGGAGTGGTAGGAATGAAATGAGAAGAAAATAACATTGAACTTCATTATCAAAAACTTTATGAAAGAAACAAYYTTTTAATTTACAAAATCTGCGGCAATCAAACCCTTTTAATTGTAAGCATTACTACACCTGACTTTTCAGTACAAAATCACTGCTATAGCAATAAAGCAGTGAAATGCTCCAAAGGCCTAGCAATTAAGCACTCGAAAAATCTACATATAAAAAGTTTGTTTTAACGTTGTTGCTTTACAATCAAAAACAATTATAAAAATAGCATAAAAATATATTCATCTTAAAAATATTCTTGTTTTTAGTTAAAGAAATAAACCACTTTAGGAAGGAATTGCTCTTCTGCTGTGGCTGCTAACASCAAATAAAAGACATGTTGTTACTTTCAAACGGATGGACAAGACCAAAATGGTTCTTGGGATATACACCTACTTGCAGAAACGTTGTCATAGAAAATAGAACATTCGAATTTAGTAAAAAGGAATAAATTAAAACAAGACAAAAGAGAGCGTTCAGCCTCAGTGATCTTCTTTTGTCTTTTTTAATTTATTCCTTTTTACTAAAATACAAATGTCCTATTTTTTATGACAACGTTTTCGCAAGTAGGTGTACATGTACACCAACATTTGAAAGTAACAATTGCTTTTCTAATCTGTTGTTATATATCTTACTATAAAGTAGCCAATATAAGTCTTATAAACCATCATTAGATGTTGTAATAACCCTTCAATAATTAGCAAAGCCTATTAGTTCATAAGTAAATTAGCAGCATTAAGCATTAAAATATTATTAATTCACTAATTCTGTACATTAATTATTAAAAGAATCAACTCTAAAGCGAGCATACAAATCATCTGTCCAGATGAATCCAATTAAAATGGTAAGCTATTCAAGCTTATTTATTACTATTAGTAATTACTGATCATCAAAAATTAATGATTAATGTTATTAGTCACTGATTGGTAATAATCATTTGTTAAATGAAAACTAAAATAATAGCAAAGCAAACTTCTTAAAACAATGATATAATCAACCAGTTCCCAGAGTCATCTTGAAAAGGCTGACAATCCCTTTCTTCAAAGAGAGACTGTGGTTGAGCTTGCAARAATAGACACCTGCAAATGATGACTTGTTGGTGTGAACTAATGGTAAAAGCTCACAGCTCCTGTCTCAGTTTGATGCAAAGGCCTGCCTACCTTTCAAATTAACACCAGGGACAGTAAAGTAGAGTAATTGTATTTTACAAATAATCTTCAAATGATATTTTTCTCTCAGTAATGTCATTGTTTAGAGAAATTTAAAAAGCAAGCTGCAGGCTGTTGAATGAAAGAATGAAGACAAGGATGTAACAAAACACCATTACTATTATTTTTACATTTTTTTACTTGATTATATTCAAATGATATAACTTGTCATCACTCTTTCATTAACTAATAGATATTTTAAAAAGAAGGATTTTGATAAATTTAGGATAACGCCTTATGAATGACAAAGCTACAAACATGCATTGTGCATGAATTTGCGGTTTTAAAACCTTTAAAATGTTGTGTTTTATATAAAGGACCCTCCAGTGCAGTTAACAGTAATTGTTATTGAGCATACCTTGTAGTAAATAATACTCTTTCCTATGTAAGATTGAGATGTTTACCAATTTTTTTTTTACCAAGTTTTTTCTAGTGTTGGGCTACCTGTCCCGGGAAGAAGACAGGTGGTAACGCTCAAGACCATTGCCAACTGTACAGAATGGTTGTTTGTTTGCATATCAAAATGATAAAACATTTAGCTACCTCATAAGGATTACATTTGTTTCTGCAAAACTACTAGGATAGCAGAACACTACAGAAGCCTGAAACGAACCAATCTCGAGCCCAGAGTCTTCACGGCTAATGTCAGCGGTATGCTGACGCCGGAAAGACTCCAATCTCGAGCCCAGAGTCTTCACGGCTAATGTCAGCGGTATGCTGACTAGTCGCCAGGTAAGACTCTGGAGGAATCGACTGGATTTGCGACGCTTTTCTGTCGCAAATTATGCAAATTAGCCCAGTTTTGTTTTTGCCGGTTTAGAGCATCAAAATGACAAAAAAGGAGGTTTAGTACACAACTTAGTTTAGGAACGGTAGTTACACCTTTTTCAAAAACAAAAATGTGTGAAAAAAGGTGTTTTTATGCGATAAAAGTATGTATATTTTTGACCAAACAGGCGAGCGCGCGCTGGCGACTTGAAAAACCGACTTGAAAACAATGCACGCTCGTGTCATTTTCATTTTCATCACGAATCGAGAAATAACGCATTCCCCCAGAGTCTCTCAYRCATTGACAACCACTGGATGGCAAAAGTGCGGGCTCTGGGTACGAGATTGTAAACGAACAGGTCAATTCGAGAAACCTGGGACCTGCAGACTGTAACTTCTAAGAAACCAAAAGTACATAAATAAATTCTTTATACACCGCTTAAAATACCTTCTAATATGGTAGCACAGTCATCTCTTTCTAAGTTCAAAAAGACCAGATATAGCTTATACACAGTTGCCTCTCTCTGCGTCGACCATGCCTCAATCATTTTTTGAAAGGATAACTCCTTTTCAATATTAAAATTGCTGATATCAATTTGGCTAAATCCAAGCAATGAAGCCACACTCATCCAGTTCCTAAGCCCAGGAGGATTGAGAAGCCTTGACAGCTTTATTATGACTTCAGGATTCAAGTTTCGCACCAAATACCCAGGATCTATATTTTGGGAATAAATCACCAATAAACAAAACACGCAACAAATTCATTCACTTGATTTATCAACCAGTCTAGTTGTTTGCAAATAATTATTTAAATACTTTGTTTATTGATTTGAGAACAGTAATCAATCAATCCATCAGTCAGTCAGCTAACCAATCAATTATTGACATTATTAACAATCATAAGTCATTCAAGTTATAGTTAGCTTAATTATCATTAAGCATTCTGGTTTGCTCTGTGTTAGCCTCAAAACCAAGCAACATATTCTTTTGTTTTTTCTTTTGATAGCCTGAGAAAACGCATGGTATTTGAAAAGAAAGACAATAACATAGATTTGAAATCTCATACTTCTATTCTCACAATTAGGAATATTTTGTGCATAAATGAGGCTAACACAGAGCATTGGAGAATTCGAGACTGAATTATTATAGATRCCAACTATTACAAACTCACCATGATCAACCACTGGTGCACTGGTCTTCTTATTGAAGAAAGTTTCATGTTCACTTGACCCAACTGATGTTAGCGATTCAGTTTTCTTTGTGGTTGAAGATCTTCTTTTAATGCGTTTTACATGTAGTACATGCACTACTATTGACAATATCACCAAGAATCCAAATACTCCTAAAGCTACTGAAAGATTATACACTGAATCTTTGCTTGAGTCACTTGATGGGCCTTCATTACTTGTGTTTTTCTGGGTCTGTATTACTGAAATGAATATAGTTTATAGGTATTTCATATATGCCACCCTGATAGCTACGCAAAATAAGGGTTGTTTACTACACTAAAAAACACCAATAATGAACCATTTTGTTTTGATGAATTCATTGTAATACCTTGTGGTATCGTTGGTGGGATGTGATGAACCATACTTTCACAGATAGTATCATCTGACCAAGAGCACTTCTTTTTTGTATATTCGCCAACTTTACATTGACTGCAAATTTTGCATGAATATGCCGTCTCAGCATATGATCCCTAGAAATTGATAAATAAATGCTCATTTTAAAGCAAGCTTAAACTGGGGTTTGGATGGGTAAAAAAGCAACTTGGAAAGCAAGRAAGAGATATTATTTCTAGGTGAACTATCAGAATCATTTCGACACAGTTGAAAGATCTGTTATCAAAAAAATTTGAATCTATCACCTTCAATAACACTTAAATTAAGTTTGCTTAACTGTAATATTTCACACAAATATTTTAGTCTTGAAAATATCACAGGTTTTCTACTAGTGTAATATTACTCTACTTACCTTCTCACATAGTTTACATTCACTATTATGAGAATGTGTACAATTTTTTATCAAAATTTCTCCTGGCTTACACTTTGTGCATAATTTACAATAAACCAGCGCTGTCTCCCAGAACTTCCCTTCTGGACATCGACATATGATGTCATTGTCCTTTGTACAGTCCTGGACTTTGACTCGTCCTCCGTCACACCCAGGGCTGCATTTAACACAGCCGCTGTTTGTGTTGAACATCCCATTAGGACAAGACGCTGAATGTGGCACAAAATACTGAAATAAAGAAATGAAGGAATGAAAAGATAGACAGGGAAATCATTGCCAAAATGATAGGCACACTTCCTGGTTTTGATAACACAATAATGCTTAACAAAAGTATCCCCTCCCCTCCCCTCCCCTCCCCCTCAACACATACAAAGTATTTTTGTAGATGTTAGTCATTGTTCATGCTAAAGCGATAGTAATGTGTTCTAGTTCACAATTTGTGGGACCCCAGTTTTGTTCCAGGGGTGGGAGAGAGAAATAAGACTCTTCCTTCCAAATATTCTTGACAACATTCTAATGTCATTATCAACACACTTTTCGAGCTTGTAGGTTATTAGACAGGAGTTTATTCAGCATGTCATTTTAATCCACAGCTGATCTAATGAGAATGATATAGGAATCCACCTTAATTATTATATTACAAAAAATAATTGAGTACATCAAGCAAACAAATCCATCAATTTTATACCATACAGCAACAACCTATAAATATATGGAGACAATATGTCGGCACAACTGGTTMAAAGTAAGAGATTCCATTTGACCGCATTTATTTTATCGACACGAAGTCTTTCACAAGCACGTGCAGAATGCTAAGCAGTAATAAACAATATTTAAGGCAATTACAAACAGTGTGCGCGTTGTTGTAAGTCCCAGGTGCTTGCACACTGATTGGCATTCCAAGATGACTTAAAATGATGACTTATAACCATTCAAAGTGCCTTTACAAAGAATCTATGATACGTTGGTGAATCTTATATTCTTAGAAATCATTTCTAGGTATAACTGACCAGCTACTAGGCTCCATCAAATCTGACTAAGCTAAATATTTTAGGGCTTTTTTCTGAAAGATACATGGCCAGTTGTAGACCTCCATCTTTTTGAACTTCTGCAATAGACTAGGTTCTTTTAAACTTAAGATAAAGAAGCCTGTTTGAAATAATTTATAAATAACGTTGTTTTTCTCGTTACATCAAAAAGCTGCGGTTTTGAACACATTTTACAACTAGTAACCACTGAATAAATTACTTAAGAAATGATACGAATTCAAGATGAAAATGAAATAATGGCACAACAAAAATATTGTATTCTAGGTAATGACTTGTTGAAAATGAGTATTTGGTTCTTGAGTCACTTTAAGGTTCTTGTTGGAAGATGAGTACTGATTGCAAACAATGTTTTACATTCTTTATGAAACTTTTCAAAGACCACATTCTGGTCTAGTATGTTAATCATGACCAAACTGTGACCAGCTGCTCCTCAACTGCATTTATTTTAAACTTTACAATAGACACATTGTACAAAAACATGATAAAACAAAAAGCTGGGCGGTAAAAACTGCAATCTTATGGTATAAAGTGTGTGGTTTTTCAAGCAGTTTTGTAAGTTGTTTATGCATGAGCCTTATTCTAAGAGTTATTAATGACAGCCCACATTAGGACAACTAGCCACAAGTTGATGAGAAAAATACAAGAGGTCAAACAATATCAACAGGTACATGCAATATTAGACTCAAGCTTGTAAGGCAATTTTTCTATCATAAAAAGAAAAATAGACGAAAAACGCATTATACGTTATTTAGCGAATAAAATAATCTTCAAATAGAACCAAAACTTTGTGGAACTCGATCACATTTTCAACTATTTTTCACATATAGATACAAATCACGAAATTCCCAAAGTACAAATAAATAACTTAACATCTAAGAGAAATTGAATTAGCTTATTTTAATAAAGAGTTTGTAGATTTTCAAAGATAATGTACATTTCGGCGAAAGAAATCGATTAAGTCCGAAGTACAAACATACACATGACACATTCATTCATTCGAATCGCCTCGTGATGGGTCAAATATAACAAAATACACCTTTCAAAATAACAGCTGAGGCATCAAAAAATCATGACCAAAACCTGGCCGTCCGATACGGGCAAATRCGTTAAATATCTTTACAAATATCAGCTGTTAGCCGCAAATACGATGCAACAAGTAACTAATTAATGTCCGGCCGTCCAAGACAGCAATGTGTTCGCTCACTTCGGTCAAGTCACCGAAGTCGACAAAATGCGAGCAAAAACTCACATATTAAATGATCTACGACTCACGTCAACGTGATCGATAGCTGGTATCTGTAATAAAGAGTTTTGATTTTAAATCTCTGTAGCGTGGAATGACAAAAGGACAATAAACTTAGCCATAACGACATTCAAATGACCATGGAAAATTCTTTAGTGCTATGTCCTGGTTTCCAAGGTTATGAGTCGAAACTCAGGGGAATCTAAAAGCTAAAACAATAGGCTACTTATAGAATTAGAAAGAATACGCTGAAACATGCACAAAAGCTATTCGGAAATCACTTTTTAAGGTGAACATTTCATGTGATTGCTTGTTCAGTCAGTCGGTGGGCGTTCAAACGTCACAAAAAGTGCTGAGCAGTGACTTTTGGTACGCCTCGCGATGCACATCAAGAACTCTCCAAAAACTTTGAAAACAAAATAGTACTCACCGTAAATAGAACTACTAGAAGTACAAATAACTCCATACTCAAATGAATCAAACACTGAATTCGAGAATTTTGAGGTTTACAAAACCTTTGACGACCAAGGGAGACATGACGTCATACTTTCCTCAATTAGAACATGGTTTGTGATTGGATAAGGAGGTAAGGGTATGAATTACTATTGTTGTACATGCTTAGGCAAGTTCGCATGATGATGTCACACAGAAATGCCGACACAGTCCAGAAGCAACTCCTCACCATGATTCAAAACATCGATAAAAATAACTTTTTTAGAGATTAACACACTAATTGGTGTCTTGAAAAAGATGTTTAAACATAATCAAAAATTTAAGAAAATGGAATGAGTATGTGTGGGCTTTAAATGAAGTTAAAACTCGCTTGGATGACATCAAGGACCTTCTAATTAATTGCTTGGAATCAGATAACAGAATTAATCTAAACCAGACAGAAAAGGTCTGCTGAGTCTATGCAAGTTGGTGGATAGCATGACCTTGTGAAATTATCATGAAAAAATGGATGATAAGAGGATGCATGGGGATAATGATAAAGATTGAACTTGTGCAAATCATGGTCTGTATTTTCAATTAATTATGTACTTTGTTGATATTATACAACATAAGATTATAAAAATGTCAGATATTTTATGGCAGATTAACAAGTTCCCACAGGTAAATTCCTCTGTCAAAAAATTGTCAACTAATGTCTTAAGGGTAGATTACATTTTCATTAGTTGGTTTGTGAATCATTTAGTAAATAAAAACGATTTGGAGACATGCAAAGTAGCATACTTATGAGTCAAAAAATTGGCATACAATTATATACACGTCAGGTGTCAGTGTGCAGGGGTCATAAGAGGAGGGTACTAGTACATGATATGTCCCCGCCATCACATTGTACTATGAACTTTATCCATGATCCCATGATCTATGATTGATCCGTCTCAGTACTAAATGTGCAGATCTCATATATATATATGTATATGATCCCCGATTCGACAAATCTAGATTGACTGATGTTTCTATGATCCTTGAATTTAATCCTGGTTCTCCCCCGCAGTAAAAATTCGGTCTGCACGCAAGCTAGTGCTGGATTTTCTCTGGAACAGGGTATCGTTTTCAGCTATTTTACTCTGGAAAAGGGTATCGTTTTCAGCTATTTTACTCTGGAACAGGGTATCGTTTTCAGCTATTTCTCTCTGGAACAGGGTATAGTTTTTGGCAATTTCACTCTGGAACAGGGTCAGGGTTTTGAGGTCCCAGAAGCACACCCCCACCCAAGTTGGGGGGAGTACCCCCTCCCCCTGGGAATTTAAGATCTTGATCCTAATTAACCTCTGATCCCACAATAAATAGAGATGAATAGGTTTCTGAGATGCACCTGAACTTTAAAAAATGCTGCAAAAATAAATGAGTGCATTCTTGAAATATTTTTGAAAGAAATTGCCTATCACAAAAAATTGTGCTATATATTCCTGTGATTGATGATTTATTTTCTCAATCTGGTCTGATCCCTCACATTCAGAGTGTATACATGCGTCAGGAGAGGTTGTGTGATGTGTGACCGAAACTAAACACGCTGCAAGGAGACTAGCTCCAAGTCTGCTGGTCAATTCCTTCTATTCCTTGGGATTCCTGTGTTGCAGTTTTCAAGTCTCTATGTGGAAAGGATTTGGATCATAAACCAAACATATTAAACCAAAGCAATAACAGAAAGAATCAACAAGTGAGGCTTGAAGCAAGTCTTATCTCAGTACAATGCTTGTGATCCTAAGGTACTAGAACCCCATTGTAATTGGTGATAGGTATTTTGCCAGAAATATTTTTCCCCTTGAAAGATGTTGTGATTCATGGTAGAAGCCATGGTAATGTCATACACCTAAATATGCTTTCAACTGTTTTATTTCTGCATTGTATTCATCAGTAAGCATTCTTGCAATCTTTACACGTTTGGCCACTATATAGCACTAATGTAAAAAATGTTAAATGCTTTGAAAGCCACATATAAGATAAGCTAGTTTTGATTTAAATAAATACATTAAATCCAGGGCTTTATTGCTTAAAATTTGATTTTGACCATGCAACTATGGTATAAAAATACAGTTCTTTCATCATAAAAGATTAAGCAGAAATTTAAAAGCAAATATGATTAAAACCCATAAAATTATGGGTGATCTTTGATTTTTATATCATCACTGAACTTTAACTTGTTCACCACATCGTCACACTGCTAATTGTAACTTTTAAATATAACTGGATGACTGGACATTTACTGTAATGCAGCACCTTAAATTTACCATGATATATCCTTATTATGTGCAAAATCAAATATATGCTGTCATCTCTCTTGAATATATAGTACAGTTCTTGATTCTAAACCTATATCCTCTAGTGTAAGTGACAAATCACTAAATACTCTCTTTGGCAGTTCATTTGTACATATTTCACAGTTATCAGGCAGTACTTCATTTGATACAGACTCTGCAAAACAAAGGATATCCTCTATTGTGTTAGATAACTTAAACCATCGCTCATGTCGAGATCCATCAAGCATTTTGATAGCAAGTTGGATCCTTTGTGGCTCAGTTTCCGTTGGCTCTAGTGGTGGGTTTTTCTTTCTTCTCAATGACATGTTCATCATTTTATGAGTTAAGTCATTACTTTCATATTGAGGCATATTTATATCGTTAGTACTGCTTGAGCTACATGATGATGTTGTTGACAATCTAGAAGAACTAATTGATGGCAAAGGTTTATATTTTGAAAATGACATAGAAGATTGAGACAAGGTTGGAGATGGTGACTCTGGTGTGTGATGACCATGGCCAGAACTAGAACGAGGGCGTGAACCAGACCTTGGTCTACCTTTAGCAGATTTAGGTCTTGGCTGTGAAGGTGGCCTTGGAGGTGTATGAGGAAAATGTTCATAAAATTGAGCATCAGRCTCTTCTGTTGTTGCATTTTGTCGCTGTAGCATAATTGCTCTGCGCATAGCCAAGCCAGCATTGTCTACTGACTGACTGGACATTGGTCTGGGTGACTGGCGATCTGGTTCTGGTGATGATAAATGAGATGATGGTCTATCTCTTGTGATACATCCAGATGAAGCTCGTCTACTTCCATGCAATGGAGTCTGTCTTGTTACAACTATAACAGTAAAAAACAGGCATAATTACGTAAAACTTGTGCAAGTGGAATTGTACCCCAGAAGTAAGTTTATTTYGATCTWTCTCCCATTGCAGTGAAATCTGACAACCTGTTTTTCAAATCAGCTGAAATTGTTTAGCACTCAAAGTGTTTACTAAATGATCATCTAATGACTGGGCTATAAAAATCAACCCATCAATGTTACACCATATGATTACTGAAATTTTGACAAATCATGCGGAGTTGCCCGCCAAATTTCACGCAAACGTGTTTCAACACAACAAAAAAACATTGAAATCAACACTTTTTCAAAGTAATAGTYGAACCACGTTTTAAGATAATGCAATCCCTCAAACGAACCATATTCAGCGGTGAAAATAACCTTTTAACGATCCGATATTGCTCACTTTCATCAAATAAATTGACATCAAACTCTTAGCTTTTTAAAAGTGTTACAGYACAATAAGCGAGCACCGTGAAATCTATTTACTTCAATCTTATCTACTTTCTATTTAAACCGTGATCATAGGTTTTATCGATACGGCTAGCGAGAGATCCATCTGTTATGTAAGACACTCTTCCTTTCTTTCTGCAAAAAGAAGATGTTTTTTGAAAATGGCGTTACTGGTTTCCTTTTATAAGCTTACCTTCGCTAAACCTTCGCTGATTWACAATTGCCGCATCTGTAGCCTTTAGTGGTCCTTTTCCACTTTCTCTAGAATGAGTGCTGTGCTTTCTTATGCGATCAAGAAGTTCATGATGGGAATCCATTTTGCCTACATCTTCCTTGGATTTGCAAGTTGTTTTGACAACGATATCCGGGTCCAGGAGCGCTCTTACAGAGAAAATAAAYCCCCCTCACACCCCTGGCCGGGGATTYTATAATCARCACCGGAAGAAAAACTCTACTTTTAAGCATAGAACTAAAAGAAAGAATAAACTGAATTATAAAATTGATGGTCGTTACTTTTGGTAAGGCGGACAGAAGGCGGACKAAATCCAAAATCTGACAAAAAAGAAAAATGAACACAGGAAGCCCAACATATGACATTGGTTAAGCATACTTCAGTTTGGCATATTTGTTCAACCTGTTTCAACTACTTTTGTCCCATTGTTTTCTTGGTCGACTGCGTCTTTATTTTGAACTTTTTTATAAACAATTGTCAAAGGAATAAACAAATTGCCAGATAAGACAAGACCCATCATTTTTCACAAAAGACTAAATCTGTCATAACTGTAAATATACAATATTCCCATATATATAACCCTTCTTGCAAGTCACTCCTCATCGTCTACTGATGATTGCCAAATTACATACATTTACATATGAAAAATCATTTATTTATTTCAGTAAATCAACAAGCCAAAAAAGTATAAATGAGTTTTATTCTTTGATTAAACGATCTATAATGTGTATATTCATCACGTAAGGGTTTCTTCTGATCGTAAATATTCCCCGATGTCAGCTTGGTGAAAACACACAACATCTGTTGGGTTTGCCTTCCTGCAATCTTGTGTTGATCTTGCTGTTGCACCAAACCCCTTTTAAAAAAAACGTTTACTTTAAACCCCTTTTAAAAAAAACGTTTACTTTGATACACAGCTATTTTAAGTTAGTTGTTGAAGATGACATTAGTCCACTTCGCGGATAACACAGCTATTAGAAATTGAGCAAATATCAAAAACCTATTACCACCACTGGAAAGAACAGTATAAAATTAGTATGTTTACCAGGTTTGAGCATGATTCGATGAAAATTCAAGGAGATACAGCATTTAAAAGTCGGCAAAATTTACAAAGAAATGTATGGKCTGTCGGCATGARATCGAGGTTGACCTTGACTTGTTACAACCTCGCCAAACATTTCTATGCAAAATTTAGTGTTTTTGAAGTGCCATATCTCTTTGAATTTAAATCAGATTATTTTYAAACTTGGCAAATTTGCTGATTTTATGRMGCTCTTTCCAGTGATGTCAATGATTTACCATAACAACGTAATGTAAAATTTCGAATTATCCGCRAAATGGTGTATTGATTGCACCGGCACAAAGAAATGTGGTTATTTACTGTAATTATCATTCGTCATCTRAGATGGAAGGAGTAATGCATGRGGAGCATGAGCACAAGTTAATGGAAAATTACGAGGCTTTCCCATGCCTAACTAGTATGCACTCTTTTATATGATTGACATGGTTTTCTCCCTGTTCACTAAAAATTAGTAACTTACCAGAGGAACATCACTCATGGAATAGACTACTACACCTTGGTACTGGGGTGTGTTTTCTGTAATTCGTCCTAACCCAGATTTTGTGATATGGTTGCCATAGAGATATGTTTGTTCTGCTCCAGGTTTGACCCAGATTTTGTACTGAAACAAAACAAAAGGAGACTTACTGTATRAAGAACAAAATGAAAGAAAAGATGAGAATGAGTAATGAAAAAAAGAGAAAGGAAAAAATGAGAGAAATGGGAATGAAAAAGAATTGATAATATAAAGGGAAAGAACAACGAAAAGATATTAATCAATTGATAAATCTTTTACCTTTGCATAGGGAGCAAGAAAATCTAGAGCAGTAATATGGAGCTTGAATTTGCCACCTTTTGTAAATTTACCAAGACAAGARCCTAAGCTGATAAGATTGTCTCTTGCTATGTTTGTCGCTTTTCTCATTATTATTTCACTAAACAAAAAGAGAAGAAAACACTGGTCAAATCCAAATCCTCATCAAAAAACATCAAGACCCATGCACATAGACCACAAAAAAGTGATTGTTAACTTACCTTACATAATAAAYTCTATCATTATGATATCTAAAACAGTAATTCCCATCTGGTCTATCAATCAGTAGCTTCATATTTTCTCCAATACTAGAATCCAAGGGAAATCAAACGATTAAAAAACAACAAACCACGTGYGAGTTGATGTATGTTGTGGTAGACTTACTACTTGGCTAGTTTCTCAAAAACTGTTTTAGTTTCGTCTTCAGTAAGCGGCCTCATGTTTTCCAATAAAGTGCTTTTTATGAATAACTATAAATCGTAGAAATCRACAGATTAAAACCAAGAAATTAGCGCAAATTTTGAACACAAACCTTCTAAAATATTTCAGGTTAGTTTCGAAAATGTGCGCCCGCGGGCTACACAACAGCTGATTTGCGTCCTAGTCCAAGTCTCTCTCGTTCTCTAAATGTTTCCATAGCGACATTCGAACGCGAAGAGCGCGCCATCARTCGAAAGTTCGATCATGTATTCTTTTTTAATATTTTTAGTTTTTATGCTTTTYCCATGAAATAAGCGATGATTCCTTTGGGTGGAGAGTCAGCTGTTTTACCAAGTGTAGAAAGAACAGGCCTAAGGCAAAACAACATTGCTTTAACACTTGTCCAAGCGCCAAATCAGCTGACTTCGATTTCCAGCTCCCCGACGATCAACAATTCTTTTTCTCCTGGAATTCGAATTCTCCAAAGTAGAGCACAACATCGAAGAAGTTCGGTGTCAAGTCTTTGTAGTATWCTGAAGTTTGAAGACGATGAATCAARAAAGTTGAATTCACGAGRATCTAGTGTTGGAGAGCTAARACTTTGTTTAGAGACAAAACAATTATCAAGTAAACAATCCGAATCTAATGAGAACGTGGAGAACAATTCATGTTCATCATCAGGCACTGCAGAAGGGCAAGACGAAGGTATTCGCTTATTTATTTTGATTTATTTGTTTCCAATGCCTAGTTTTCAATTTTCACAGTCCAGTGCCAATTGCATTATAATTTGCATAATTTGTGTTTTCATTCATGGATTAATGCTTCAACACAGCCATTGTCGTTGGGATATTTCATTTGAGTTGTTTASTTTACATAAACAGCTGGTAAAGTCTCTATAATTGCATAACATAATATAACATTTATAATTTTCCTAAATTATATGCTTAAAATACAACTTGCCCACCATTCATTTCAGGGATCATCACATAAACTGAAAATTTAATGTCATATTTTATTATATCTATCTCACAGAAGCAGATGATTGTTCTGACAGCATGTTTTTCACTGCTGGTACTGACAACACAAGTCCTGATATCAATAATAATGTTGAACCAAAAAAGACAAAAAGTAAATCCCGAGTAAAATCAAACTCAAGGACAAAGAGTAAGAAACGTTCAAAGTCAAAGAAATCAGCAAAGGTGAAAGGGAATGTGAAAACTTCAACTAAAGTCCCAAGTGTGTTTGAAAGACTATCAAATGTTACAAAGAATATCAAAATTCAAGGTAAAAAAATGAGGATTGTCAAGTTTTGGAATCTAAATGTAGATGACATCATTATTCTTACCCCTTGGATACGACTACTCCATGTACTTGATACTTGATATATAGTTAATTCAGCAAAAGTAAAGTTATAATCACAAAATTCATTCCATCATTCTACATCCTTGTGCTGGTCTCCCAGGCAACCTCACAACCTCACTAGGGAGAAGGGGGGGGGGGGGGGGGGGCAATCTTGTCACTTATATTAATTAATGTCCTTTTTGGTTGACAGACAAAACAGCTTCTTCCAGTTCTATGAAGAAAAACAGCACAATATTCTTCAACAGGTCAAGTGGTAATATCTTAGAAATTAAAAGACTACAGGCAACATATATGCCAGTAATTAAACCAAGTAAACCAAAGACACTTCTATGTTTGCCAAGAGTTGCAATGTCAAATACATCCAATGCAAAAAGCTCTCAATCACCAAGACAGACATCCTGTCATTCGATTCCTACTGCGTCCAATCATATCACAGTAATTACACCTAGGAAATCATTGGATACTATTATCAAAAATGACAACATCAGTACAAAGAAAGTTTATTTATCAGAAGTACAGTCTAAGATGATTGGTGGAATTCCAGGGGCACCACCTGTAACACCATTTCCAGGTATATTGCAATCCAGGCAATCAGGAAGCGGTCCAGATTAATATAATTTAATGAATGTTTGATTATAGATGAGCAAATAAGAACGGAATATATCCCATGTCTAATGGACATCAAAAGTCAGAGAGCAGTAAAATCAAAGCTGGAAAAAATAGGTATTTTAACTGCAAATTAGTGCACTGTTATAAAAGGATAATGTAATGACTGTAGTCGCTGATCTATGGTCATTGTAAGTCTTAAATTAATACCACTTCTTATATTCTCATAGTAACTAAATTAAAAACAGAGGAACAACGAAGAAAAGAATACGCAATAAAACAGGACCAAAAACGACTGAAAGAATCACTAATGCAGTTAAAGCAGCAACAACGAGCAGAGGTACTATTTTTACATGTTAATTACTTGTCTAATGAGGGATTGTTTTTTCCTTGTTCTATTTTCTACTATTAATTTAAACTTTAACTTGTTTCATTTTCATCTTTCAGATTTATGCCTTAAACAAAGTTATGACAGAACTTGAAAATGAAAATTTCAAAAAGTTTATGATGAAGAAAGATGCTGTTTCTACGATGGGAGTTTAGGGTGTCAGCCTCATGCTATAAGAAATATTGCAAGCAAATAACCCTTAGAATATCTAAGCATTTGATGATACATTGAATTGTTTTGTACAAGAATTTTAAAATGCAAACAACTGAATAACTGTATTTAATATTATTTATTTTTAATAGGAATATCTATATTTAAAAAAGACAAATAAAAATTGATTTTACAAAGAAAAATAAACAGGCATGAAAGTCTAATATCTGATATATCGCACAAATTTCACAATGGGTACCAAAAACTATAATACATATGCAAAGCAGACTCAGGGGGGAGGGCAGGGGAAGTTAATAAATGTGCAAAGAGCCCATAGATGGTAAGGGAGACATGGAGATTTATCTTACCACCTCTCTCCCTTCCCTGGTGAACGCTCCTCTTTGAATCAAATAAAGTTCTCATTGGCTGATATGCCATATTGGACTGGCCAATAGGATTTGACATCTATTTTTATACCAGCTCAGATAGTATATATAGCTAGTTGAAAGTGATGTGTCAGTTATGAAAGGAAACATGAATGCACACAAACTCTACCTGATTTTTAATGAAGAATCGTAATTAATTACAAATATATAAATTAATTTATTACAAATAAATTAATAGTTAAAATAAAAAGACCAACAGTTACTGAATTATGTAGAACAAACGGGTAGAAAAACAATTATTGTCAAAAATGCTATTGCCATAAACAAATCTGGAATATTTTTCATGACAACATATGCAATATATATTATAAAAGTGCATTCATAATTATCATAATTAAAATTAGTATTCCAAACTATACAATAGATGAGTCAACATTTTTTGACAATATGTTCATTGCCTACCTAATACACTGACCACTAGAAATGTGCAATATGGAGGAAGTAAAGCACCTCTTGGTAATCAACGATGTTTTATACCCTCGCCGGTAAATATAGTAACTTCCTTCCATAATATATTAACGATTTTGATTGGTTAAGATGACCCATCCTTTCGAAATGGTAACCGTTCCTCTTTCCTTTCAACCAATCATAGTTGTTGTTATGTCAAAAGCCTCGCTATGATGTCTAAACTCCCTGGCCCCCCCACAAATTCTTGATTAACCAACGCCCCTAAAAGCCGGACATCACCGAACATAGCAAATCTGTGATAGGAGAATTTACGACCAAAAACGAAGCATTTTTGTACTGTTTTACTAGTATTTGAATCTAAAGGAGGTGGTCTTGTAGTCCAGGTATGTCTTGGTCTGAGTTCTGGCACTGTAATTTGCTTATTGGGGTTTTTGTTTTGCTGAGATGGTGGACTTTATGTGATATTTTTGCATGCGGTTTGGATCGTTATGGATGTCGTTGCTTCACGTCTCTTGCCGCATTTCATCTCACCAAGTGTTTGACAGCACCCATAAGGGTTCAACAGTTTACTGGATAGTTAGAAATTGTGGTTGAGATTTCAAATGTCGACTTCAAGACCGGTCGACTCCGCAAGAGAAGTTGAAAAATTGATGTAAACTTCATTTAAGAATTTTTTGCCCACCGGTATTACCACCATCAACCAAGTTTCCTTGCTCATTCATTATTCGTTAGTAGTACGGTACGAATAACGAAGCACATAAATCCTGGTTACTGTGAAATTCCTCTGAATTAAGTGTTGAGTCCAAGTGTTTATTCGATCACTTGAACATTTCACTCGTTTATGAAGCCATTCCAACATGGGTTTCGCAATTGCTTAGCTTCAGTGTTGCTTTGTTTTTGAATTCTGAAACCACAGCTTAAAACCATTTTCTTCTCTCGTAACTAAAGCAAAGTTATTGAGTTAAAAGATCTAGTACAAAATATGTCTTTTAGAATGACGATCTTTACGTTGTTTGGGTGCACCCTATATGTACTTTGCACCGTCGTGTCAATCTCGCACACCGTGTTTTGACAAGAACACTTATCTGATCAACATTTTCTCTTTGCAGATAAATTTTGTGCCACTGTCCTGGTTTATTCTACATTTCTAGTGTAAATATGCAGACGATAAAGTGTGTAGTTGTTGGTGATGGAGCTGTTGGTAAAACCTGTTTGCTAATTTCATACACAACAAATAAATTTCCAAGCGAATATGTACCTACAGTAAGTATTAAATCTACTCCTCTCTCTAACAAAAATCACTAATAACATTACTAAATCTATGTTATTGTTTACATCAAGATTTTTTCGTCGCTCCTCTTCTGTGAATTCACAGTCTAAAACTCTAAATATTACAAGTAATATAATAAAGTTTGAGTGTTTGCTCTGGAGCCGGAAGATTTCTTAAAATAAAAAAAAAATTAAAAAAATAATATTTTTTACTGGTACATGAAGTTGATGAGACATGATTCTGAACTGGTGAAATCGAAATTATCGTGATATTAGCTTTGCTTTTGAGGAAATGCGCTCACTCTAACAATTATTAAATTATATACATTACTTTTGAGTGGTAACCCTAATTTATCCTTAGTTTCAACTCTTTCATAGAAATGAACCCTTAGATAGTGTAATGCAATCAGAGTAGCTTATCTGATATGATTTCCTGAAATCGAAAGATATGCACCTCTGTTATTGTAACCTTTGAATTAAACTCTCCCTAAAACATGGATGATTATAATACTAACATTACTGTACTCAATATGTAAGCGCTACTGTTAACACTTAGAAGGCTTGATCAGAGATGTCAACTACTTAGATTTGCACCTACTAAGTGGATTTGATTGAATATTCTAGAATGTATGTAGATTTCCTTTAATATTTTAGTACTGACTCAACAGCCTAGGGCTTATTGAATGTTGTATGGTATAAGAAGTAGATACAGTGAACAAAGTAAGCCAGTAAATATGCTATTTATTATAAGAGAATGGTAGTACTGGTAGTTTTTGGTACATTTAACATCACGCATATGAAGAATATTTTACTATTAAAAAGAGGTTGTTGTACAGAATGATGATATCAGAGCAAGCAATAAAGATATGTCCTGGTTTGAAGTACAATAATCAGACAGACGAGGTTCTCCAGCAACAACAGTGTTCCTGGCTATATATTAGTTTATTATAGACAATAAGGTAAAAAGGAATGTAGTTCAATTATGTATGACTTACTCTTATCTGATTATTTCAAATCCTTTAAAAAAAACTACAAGATTAGCAGATACAATTACAGTTATTTTCATGTAGTGTTAAGTTGTTTGCAAGAGCTTTTCTACATAGCATTAGTAGGCACAATTCATATGCCCAAGAACAGAACACTCCACTGCAAACATTTTACATGTAGAATGGCCTAGTTGTCCGAAAGGCAAATAGATTGAATGTCAGTCAAAATGAGATTATTCGGATTATCTTTCGTTTTAAATAGAACTATCACCTCAGATAAATTCTCACCTAGCAGTTAAACATTTTCTACAAGATTTATGCATTATTAGTTAACTCTTGTAAAGTGATTAACTTTATCAAAAACTTGTGCAATGAGGTCCTGAAGAAAAATCCTCATGGTAGATTGGGAGAGAACCACCATGACAGCTCAAATACCAGATAATACCATTACAACTTTCCTTATTGCAAGTATCACCGGGATTTAACCTTGTAATGTTTTCTTTCCAGGTATTTGATAATTATGCAGTAACAGTTATGATAGGCGGCGAGCCTTATACTTTAGGATTGTTTGATACAGCTGGTAAGAACAACCTTTATACTCCTTTTTGTGACTTTAATTATGCCGCATGCATTTAAGAACCTTTATACATTTTTTTCCGATCAATATTCTGCCATCTTTGATTTTGAAGCAATTAGAAAGCACCTTTCAAGAAGGGATCATAAACAAATGATTCTAGAATACACGTGGGCTTTTATCATCGGCAAGGCTTGACCACCTGTGTGATATCTCATACTCTGCATTTGGAACCAGTGTGGTATTGCATAAGATGTGTAGCATATTGATGTTCTTGTCAAACTTGTTAATATTACAATTTTGACAAAGTGCACTTGAGCAACAGACATTTTTGTAGATTGATGTCATACATTGATCAAGCATATTGTCCTATTTTCATCAAAATGTGAGTCAAGGACTTCTCACATCCCACACTTCATCAGAGCACATGTGTCATCCTAAGTGATCCTGCGACATCTATACTGATAATGCTTTTACTTGCTTAATCTGTTAATTCATCTCTCCATGGCTTCCTGTACTTCTACCTACAAGTGTGCACTGTTTGTTTATGTCTGTCCGTCCATTAGTCTCTCTGTGTGTTCATCATCTGCTTAATGTAATCATTAATAATATCTAATAAATATTGCTATGTTTGCAGGTCAAGAGGATTACGACAGATTACGACCTCTCTCATATCCACAAACAGATGTATTTTTGGTTTGTTTCTCTGTAGTCTCGCCGTCATCGTTTGAAAACGTCAAAGAAAAGGTACAATACTAGATTAGTAGATTATCGTCTGTGTTTGATATTTGTTGTTTGATAAGATCAAGGACGTTGCTATAAGAGCACTTTTCTGATGTTTATTAAAAGCACATAAAGCTGTTTCATTAAACATTATGGGAATATTTCTACATTGTTATTTATATTTATATCTAATTTTGGGTTAGTATTTTTACAGCAGTTTCTGATTAATTATTATTAATTCTGATTAATTATGTTTTATTGATTTTAGTGGGTTCCAGAAATAACACATCATTGTCCCAAAACACCATTCTTACTTGTTGGTACTCAAGTGGATCTAAGGGACGACGCAGGCACATTAGAGAAGCTAGCCAAAAACAAACAAAAACCACAGTCAGTAGACCAGGCTGAGAAGTTAGCGCGAGAACTCAAGGCTGTGAAGTACGTTGAATGTTCAGCTCTGACGCAAAAAGGTTTAAAGAACGTATTTGATGAAGCAATATTGGCAGCTTTAGAGCCTCCAGAACAACCAAAGAAAAGAAAGTGTACTTTACTGTAAGCTTTCTAAATACAATGTACGCTGCTATGTGAAGTATTCATGTAGCATTATGATTGTCCACCAAAAAAAATAACTATCAGAGACAATATTTACATTTCTATGAGGGTTATAATCTGATCCTCATAGAAATTGTGTTTCAACTATTTGAAATACTAAATCAAAACCACAAAAATGTCAAAATATTACTTAGCTTCAAAGAAAGGGATGCATTTTATTCTGCAGCTCAAAGTCTTTCTTCCTTGTAGTATAGTGTTGGTATAATAACAGGCTGTCTTTATGATAAATTTTATGATTCAGTATGTCAATTATTATGCAATTTTTTGCATTGCGTCAAGGTAACAAAAATGTTTTGCCATAGCTCTCATCCTTGTTTTCTGTATGCTTGTGTTTTTTATCTTAAAAACATTGAAAAAATAAAAGAAAATTTGCCCAGTAAATTCTGCTTCAATTGTGTTTTCTAAATATTTCAATTTTAGAATTTCATTTCAAAGATTTGAGCTTGATCTTTGTCAAACTGTAGCCAGCATACGTATCTATGAAATCGCTGAAATATAATGAGCCTGTTGTTTCTATATTCTTCTACAGGTTGCTAGTATTCAAATACTGTTTTCTTTAGAATGTACATATTTTTGATTATAGTTTTACACAAACCATCATTTATTGAATGTGATTTGTGCATTTTATTTTGAAGTGTGAAATGATTATTAAGACAACTGCTCATTTTCCTTCACAATTTGAAGAGAATTGATTTTTTCTTTACAGCTTACTATATAAAAGTGTGGTCACTGATAATGTATTCCCATACTTCTGTCTTGTCATCATTCTAATGTCTTGATCCCAGATCAGTGGTTGGTAATAAGCAAGACAAAAGTTTGCAAATACATTAATACTGGCCACACTTTTACACTCTTGTGCGATAAAATAATGACATTTTTAGAATATTGATGAAAATACATGAAGTGACACTGAAGAAATTGACCAATCATGTGAGAACATTTTGAAATGATGAATCTAATTGGATGATATCAACCAATCATAGTGAAGTTTTTATCTCCTGGTTTTCATGAGCCAATCACTTGAAAGCATTCAGGAATGCATTGATATTATTGGATAGCGAGGTCTGTTATCTGATTGGTCAGTCTCATTGAAGTGTGCTTAAATGATAGCACCTAACTGACTATACTAATCTCTTTGGTCTTGTCTTAATTTAGTATACTTTGGCTGTCACTATTACAAGGGTCACTTTACCATGTATTTTCTGTGCCATAATTACGGTTTTGCAGTGTTACAAAATCTGCGTAGTACAGCTGGATAAAACCAGAAATCACTAGCCGTGTAGCTACCATGCAGCAATCCACAACAGTTCTTTAAGGGCTTTGGTGAATTTTGTGTTGAGCTGCTTCCCATCACTCCCCTACATGGGTTCTTTTATTCACTTATTAGGAAGGGAAGTGATGGGCAGCAGTTGCACAGCTGTTGCAGTGTTTGTATCTGCCTAAAAATTCACTCAAAAAATACTTCAATAATTATTTTCATGTTAATGTAAAGTGCAGTTTTAATAAATAATAAATAATGACAAACCTTGATTGAATTGGTGTTTGTATAATTATTTCTTTCTTATATATTGATTTTCAATTAATGCATTGATGAACATAATACATCAACTGGAATTGTCCCATTCAAATCCCATCCCTATAAGACTTGCTCCAAGTCCCTCTAACACTGTTCAGTCTCTCGAGAGATCATGAAATACCTGACAAAAACTTGACTGGTGCGACTTGTTCATTCCCCCTGGTTCATGCCTGGAAGCGAAGTACAAATCAATTCAGTTGTGTTGTTGCAATCATGCCAATTCTAATGGAATAGCAAGCATTTCTGGTTTGTTCTGATAAGGCAGTCAGGAGCACATACATTTACCAGAGTGATATATTCACTTAATTTAAAAAGTTTCCATTTTTTCATTCATTTATTCACTTGCACTTGTTTGGTTATTTTTCCCATTTTGAACCGATATCTAGATATTAGTTTGGTCACAATCAAAATATTATATATAGGGTTTCCTGAGACTTTTATTATTCCCTTGCAAAAATACAGTCATCACTCGCTATTACGGTCACCCTCGGGACCGTAATAGAGCGGATTTCGTATGAGTGGGACACCGTTACCGCACGGTTACCGCACAGTTACCGCACCTGGCCTGCAGAATTTTGGTGAACAATGGGGCACTAAAATTTGGTTACAGTACGATTACGGTCACAGTACAGTACCGTCCGTTTCCCACTCATACGAAATCCGCTCTAGTGTCCGAAGTAGAGAGAGTCCTTAGTAACGAGAGTTACTTTCAGTCATTTATTTGTATTTTGGCCGGGGATTCAGTATTTTACTGTCCGCAATATCAAGGTGTCCGTTGTAGCGGGGTGTTCGTAAGGCGAGACTTAACTGTCCTCGCAGCGCCTCGTGAAAAGAATTCCGAGTGAGCCTGAGTCCTAGTCGATGACATTGCATACTAGTACACATGCGCAGTTTATTTGTCGGCCATATTGAAAAAAAATTATATTGAAGAGAAATTGTCAAAAGAAAATCAACTCTTTCTCGTAGTTTTAACACAGAAACATGCCGGATTACTTAGGAAAAGACCAGAGAAAAGTTCGTGGAGATGAAGAAAAAGAAGACAAGCCAATTCAAGGTATATTTTTGTCATAAAGCTCTGTCGAAACTAGAGTTTTTTGGATGACAATGATGATCTTGCTATGTTAGCTGTTGAAGAGCTTATAAGCTTAGTTTAATTTTGTCTTTTTCATCAGTACTCGATGAGGGTGATATAGCTGTTTTAAAGACTTATGTAAGTATTGGTGCTATTTATTCTCCTAAAATTGAATTAAATCTCACAATCTTGCAGTAAACATTGCATTTTAAACATCTTATTTAACATGAGGGTATAATGAATTCATAAAACATCTTTGATAAGACAGCGTGATATAGAGTACAAATTTACAAATTTTGATAGTTTTGAACATCTTTATTTTTACAGGGAGCTGGCGTCTACAGTAAATCAATCAAAAAAGTTGAAGACGATATCCAGTCAACACTTAAAAAAGTTAACGAGCTTATAGGTTTGTACTTAAAACACTCTCAAACTTTGTGACAATACAACAGTTGTTTGACGGACTTATCTAGTTGGCCAAGTCACTGGAATCTTCAATTATGAGAGATCTTGTTCATAATTCAAAAGAAAACAAATACTCGCAACAAATGATGCTCATGCTCACGTGTTTACTATAGTCCCACATGGTTGATTGCCACAACTATGTATTTCAGGAATCAAAGAATCAGATACTGGTCTAGCACCACCGGCATTATGGGATTTAGCAGCTGATAAACAGACTTTACATGGTGAACAACCTCTGCAGGTAAGATAGTTGTCCATGAGGTTGGAAACAGAAAATGAATTTTTATGTAATTTTAATTTACAGTAGTTGATGTACTCTGTTGTTCCTGTAGGTTGCACGATGTACTAAGATCATTAATGCAGACACAGATGATGCCAAATATATTATAAACGTCAAACAATTTGCCAAGTTTGTAGTTGATCTTGGTGACCAAGTTGCACCTACTGATATCGAAGAGGGGATGAGAGTGGGGTAAGTAGAAGACAAAACACATTGAAGACTATTTAGACATCCTCTTTGGCCTCTTTGATCATTTTACCAATTAAAACACTATTAGTATAAATAAATCACTGAAACTTTTATGTCGTATACCATAGTTTTATATACAAAGTTCCTTGTAGGATTTGTTTGGGACAAAACATGGCTGATTTCTTTTGTTTTCTCAAGGGACTGACTGCACAGTTCATTGCAAATCAAGTAATATTGATGTTAATTTTGATTCTTGTGTTTTATTTAAAGTGTTGATAGAAATAAATATCAGATACATATTCCTCTGCCACCAAAGATAGATCCAACGGTCACTATGATGCAGGTGAGACTGTCAATACAATGCATTAGTTAATAGCGGCATATACAGCCTTTTGCAAAAATTATGAGAATTGTCGAAATATCTAAATATCATGATATCGAGTGCATGATGGGTAATCCTGCGCGATGCCCTTAGTCCCTTGTCTTTGTAGTTTAGGGGTTTTTTTTGGCGACAGACTTATCCGTAGTTCTGAACATTTTCTCGATGTCAACAATGAATTATTCTAGCAAACCCGCGTGTTCCGGACAATATATGGATATGGATATTATGATATTTAGATATTTAGACAATTCTCATAATTTTTGCAAAAGGCTGTATGCATAATAGTAGTCATGTATTAATGTATCACTAAAACACTGTGTGGTTATCACAAATATACAGTCTTATATTGATTGCAGTTCAGTATCGTTATTTTGACTGAGTGCCTCTGGGTCTAGTTGTAAACCATGAGGTTTTTAGTTAAGAATAAATAGGCATTTTTGAAGTTGTACAGAAAAGCTCAAAACCATATCTTGTCATGTAGGTTGAGGAAAAACCTGATGTTACATATTCTGATATTGGTGGATGTAAGGAACAAATTGATAAACTAAGAGAAGTTGTTGAGACTCCATTATTACATGTAAGTATAGCCCAGACTAAGATAAAGTTATCACTCCATAGGTTTTGTATGGATATTACCATTGAATAAGGATTTTATTCACCCTTCATACAGTCCAACAAACTAATGTGCTCATCGTAAAATACTGATTTGTATCGCAGCCTGAGAGATTTGTCAATCTTGGTATTGAACCACCTAAAGGAGTTCTATTATTTGGTCCTCCTGGTACTGGAAAGACTCTGTGTGCAAGAGCTGTAGCAAACAGAACTGATGCTTGTTTCATTAGAGTTATTGGCTCAGAGCTGGTCCAGAAATATGTTGGTGAAGGAGCTAGAATGGTCAGAGAACTGTTTGAAATGGCAAGAACTAAGAAAGCTTGTATTGTTTTCTTTGATGAAATTGATGCCATTGGAGGTAATTGGTCTTTCTCTCAATTTCTTGTTGTTGTTGTTTTGTTGTTGTTGTTGTTGTGTTTGTCTTTTTCCTTGGGTCACTTGAGTCTATGTTGTTTTCATGTGTGATTGTTTACATGTTGATTTTAATCTATTCATTGTATGGCCACCAGGTGCAAGATTTGATGATGGTGCCGGTGGAGATAATGAAGTGCAGAGAACTATGCTTGAGCTAATCAACCAACTTGATGGCTTTGATCCAAGAGGAAACATTAAAGTCCTCATGGCTACAAACAGACCAGATACACTTGATCCTGCTTTGATGAGACCTGGTCGTCTTGATCGTAAAGTAGAGTTTGGTCTACCTGATTTAGAGGTATGTATGTACAATAGTATATTGAGCATGCTCAGCAAGACCCCCGTTACTAACACTCAAAGCTATATTATTTGTACACAAGTTTTACAGTGTACTCTTGTCATTCCCAGGGAAGAGCACATATATTCAAGATTCATGCTCGTTCAATGAGTGTAGAAAGAGATATCAGATACGAACTACTAGCAAGACTCTGTCCAAACAGCACAGGTGAATATGATGACAAATAAAACACTCATTATTGATTGACAGTCTTGATGATGAATGCTAATCATTCTAGAACTCATGATCTATTTGCATATCAGTTCAATGTTGTTCACTTGCCCTGATGATACAACTATTCTCACAGGGGCTGAAATAAGAAGTGTTTGTACAGAAGCAGGAATGTTTGCCATCCGGGCCAGAAGAAAGGTACAGTAAATAAGAATATTTTTATGTTTTAAACTACTCTTTGAAAACACACAGAAACTCTGAAGGGAGGGGTTGGATGTGGAATGGCTACACAGGCAATGATTAATGTTTGATTATTTACTAGGTTGCTACAGAGAAAGATTTTCTAGAGGCCGTTAACAAGGTTATCAAGGCATATGCAAAGTTCAGCTCAACACCAAGATACATGACCTATAACTAAACTTATTGTAAAGAATAATAATTGGTCGACCAATGTACAAATGCACCTTAATAAAACTATAAAGTTGACTTATATTTTGTGTATTTTGTGGATAGTGTTTCGTGTCATTCATTTGTTCAAATAAGTATATTTCTCTAGACGCACTTGAAATTTCAAAACAAATAGTTTTCAGCCCGTGTAACTCGTCTCAGTTCAAAGTTTTGTTTCAGTGATGGCCTCCTTTTTCGCCCTAATTAAACATTTCGGAAACACGAACTGAGATGGAGGAGTTTACACGTATCCTTACGGTTTCCTTACAGCTGCTTATTTGGAAAGTCTTTTAACGGAAAGAACAAAGCTGATGCTTTAACTTCCGGTCAAAAATGTTCCCCAGGGGGTAGACCAGTGGCTGTTGATTGTCACGAGTCCTGAAGGTCGATGTGCACATCCTAAGGGAAAGTGTGCTTTCTTTCTTGTGTAATTCATTTCAAATTGTAGAATATACYAGATGACTTCAGCACCAAGATGATTTAGAACTATCTTAAGTCTCTCTAAGAGACAATATTATCATTACAACAGATTTACTGATCATTTGCAGTCGTGATTTCAATCTCCATTCCACTGCAGGTAAGTTGTTTATTACAATATCACGACAACTAGGGTTAAGCCATAAATATATCATTGCGATACGTTGTGTTCAGTTTTTCATGTAAGCCTTGGACAATTGTAATCCTTGGATGTCTGAATGTTGACTATTTTAATGAAAAATGTGAATCACGCAAGTGTTTTGATTAAGTTAGAATATATTATAAGTTAACTTCGATGTTTCTCAATGTGAAATCAATTAATGTTTGTGAAGTGGAAGTTTCATTTTTATATTGTTAATTTCGGTCATAAATCGTTCATAATGTAAGGACTGTAAGCGGATGTTGTTGGTTGGCGTGGCCATATTTATACCGAGTCAGATATGCTCCAACCATGCATTCATAACAATATGCAAATTACAAACTTGGTGATTCATTTCAACTGATTTGTGTAATTTTGATATTGACTAAGACTGATCAAGGTCAAGGTATTAGAAGGGAAGCAGAATGTGTGGGAGAGTTTTAGTGTATTTATTGCTGCGAGCAAAAATTGTTGCACAAAGTAGAACTCACATCTACTCTTTCACCACATGTTGTAGCAATGCAACAGTGACTCAATGCATATGCAATATTCTGAAAAACTCCTTTCCAGTAACCTGTTTTCCAAACCATTTCAACATAAGTTGCTGTGGAAGTTGTACTACATAACAGTACCTTTAAAACATATTGCTTTTTTGTTCCAGGAATGACAAACGTTTGGAGCTGATTTGCTGACCCATGACAGCCTTTCATGATGAAAAAAGTCACATGTGTCATCGTAGGAACTGACAATGCTGACAAAAAAGAGCTGCTTGTCAGAATATCAAACCTTTCACCAAAGAAAAACAAATCTACTGAACRTCTCACAGAAGTAGCTGCTGAAGCTCAGGAAAATGATAGCGATGAAGAAGAGAAAGTCAACTTCAAAGTCATCCAAGAGGAAGAAGATGACTCAGATGATGATCAAGATGATSAGACTCCAGATATCTGGGAAGGAGAAATAACAGTYGAAAACAAATCATACACACTTGTTGTCCATCATTGCTCAAGYATGGACTGCTACCAGAAYTCAAGAAAGCTTCTTTATCTTGATGCAGACATTTTCCTYGTTTGYTTCTCKGTCTCTTTGCCAATGTCGCTAGAAGAGGTTGTGGAAAAGTGGGTTCCTGAGATCCATTCTGTTTGTCCTGTTACACCATTTATTCTGGTTGGTACCCACACTGAATGGAGAGAACTCTATGATCCAACTCAAACTGACCCTACAATAAGGCCTGTCTTTCCTGAAACTGGAGCAATATATGCTGAACGAGTTGGTGCTGTAAGGTAARTATCATTTCACAGCCAGATTTAGCTTCATCAGGTCATGTATGTTAAGCTGTGCAGGAAGATGTCAAACACTAGTCTTCATGTACATTTTCCTATCCCCCCCATATTATTATTCTCTTCCTCTGCTTAACCCCTCCCCATGGGTGGCACCGGGAATTTGTCAGGGGGAAGGATTTATTACTGCGCAACAACAATAACTGTAATATTAGTTGTGAATGAGTGAATAAGGGGATATCCAATGCACCGATGACCACCCCTGGWATCTGYCCTAATCCCTCTGGATGTTGATATTCYCTTCCTCCTGTTATGAATAATGATTATCAGAGGCGGATCCAGCTGGTGGGTGCAGGGGGTGCGCACCCTCTCCTGAGATCTATTTCTTTCAATACTTTCCTTAATTTGTATTTCCTTAATCTTCATGGTAATGATTTTTGTGGGGTGCACCCCCTCCTGAGAGGCCCGCACCCCTCCCTGAGGAAAATCCTGGATCCGCCCCTGATGATGATGATGATGATGATGATAATGTTAATAATACTTCAGGTACATGGAATGTTCAGCGGTTGGTGCAAACAGCGTGAAGTACATATTCAATGAGGTAGTACGAATTAGTACCATGGATAGAATGGAACTCTCACAACTACATCCTGACTATGTCCGTTATGGGTCCACTCTGCTGCATCAAGCCGTACAGTTCAATCATGAGGCATCTGTAGAGACCTTATCATATGTCATGGATATCAATGTCCGAGACAAAACTGGTCGCACTCCTCTTGATATCGCCCTGAGAGAGAACTACGTCGAGGCTGCAAGGTGCCTGATCCGCAAYGGTTGTGATGTGAACATTGTCAACGAGGATTGGAAGAATAGATGTGAGTTTTGGATTGACGAGGATCCAAAAAAGCATATGGTCTACCGCACTATCTTTCCTTTGGCAAGAGAATTGATGAACTGGTACGCCAGCCTCCAGGATCCATTTCGTGCTAATATACTTGTCACTGGACAACATTCAGTGGATGTTTCAAACTTTTTGAACAAAKCCGCTCCTTWTATCGTGATGAAAACTTTAACAATTGTTAATWCTGAGTCTCTGTGTTCATTCGACTTTTCACACTTGAATTACTCCCTTCAGTCTGTTACCATTACAAGTTGTGACTTAGGAGGGGAGGTACCGTCATCAATATACTCCCTGTTAACACTAGAGTCTCTATCATTGGTCGATAATGGTATAACATCAATCTCAAATGAAATCTCGAAACTCAAGAATCTCCGACGATTGCGCTTAAGCCGCAACAAGCTCAAAGCACTTCCTGATGAAATGCGYAGCCTYATCAATCTGAGGTTCTTCTTTTGTGATGAGAATAGTCTTGAGCGTCTTCCTGATCAGATTGGTTGCCTGCATGACTTACAAGTTCTTGACGTGTCATGCAATCGTCTTGAAAAGCTGTCAGTATCGCTAGGACTTCTCACTAAATTGAAGTGTCTCAAATATGCCAAGAATCGATTAGAATTCCCACCRCACGAGATCTTGAAACAAGGCGCTGATGAGGTGCTAAAGTACCTMGGAGCCTTCCTGGACAATCCYGTCCAGAATACGCAAGTAAAAGTGACCTTGGTGGGCGGGGAAGGTGTTGGTAAAAGCACTCTTGTCACCGCATTGAAATACAAGAAACCAACGTTTCCTGAGACGACTGATGAGACGGTRGGAATTGAAGTATCTGACTTTGATTTCAATCAGTCTTTGATAATGAAAGTTTTTGATYTGTGTGGTGACCCAGCTTTTCTAAGYTCGCACTCCTTGTTTGTCACGGATAACAGTTTATATCTGGCATGTTTTGACATGCGTCACTACACTRTTAGCAAAGCGTCCATGTCCACGATGAACCACCTTGGAAGACTACAGCTCTGGTTGGAAATGATCTATGCCCAGGCTCCATCGTCCCATGTCATCATCGTCGCCACCAACGCTGGTCACCCGAGTCTTACCGAAGATCTTCGGAATCAAATCCGAGAGGAAGTCGAAGAAATGATTGCCCAGTACCAACATGAGCATAAAAGGCAGTTTGAAGGAGAACCTGTTTCACAATGCAGTCTTTGCGAAGGATCGCATCTATGCGTCTCTAGTTCAACAAAGTTTTAYATCAACCAGAATAAAGCTGAAGCTCCAAGTCCTTTATTAAAGCCAAAGCCATGTTTACCACACATCGTCGGATACTATGAAGTCAGCTCCAAGGAGCAATACCCAAGAGCCCTTTTAGGATCCAAAAACATTAGCTTACAGAACTTCAAATGTGGTTTGTCGATGAAGATGATAGTTCTGTTAAACTCGTGTGTTGGATACCTTATTCCTCAGAAGTGCCTCTATGTACGAGATCGGATCCTTGAAATATTGAACAGTGACWCTGACCTACAAGACATGCCTGTTTTTACCTTGGAAAGACTTCGAGAGATCGCACTTGGCTGTGGAATGAGGGATGAGTTCAAGATTAAAATGATGCTGAAGTATTTCCATAATCAGGGGGAGTTTCTGTGGTTTGAGGACATCCCTGARCTGTGYGATACAGTCATCGTTAAACCGCAGTGGTTGGTTGATAGATTGCGGGCGCTGTATTCCTCATGTTCAAGTCACTACATCGTTGATGGTACCCTGAGAACGTGTAACCTATCTAAGATATGGCCAGAATACTCACAATCTGAACTAAACACACTGCTCTCATTAGTACGTGGGCTAGGCCTTTCATTCCAGTTGTCCRTGGACGAAGAAATCTTCCCATCCCTACTCCCCCACGGGTACCCAGATGAGGAATCGTGGGYAAGACTACCTTCACCTTCAGACCACCAAGTTACTGTAGAGTTTGTATTCAGCTTCCTCCCACCATCGTTCTTTGGTGATCTGATGGTGGCAGTTATTAACAGGGAGATTGTAAGTACAGAGCTATCAGAACCAACCTACTTACGGTACAACCTGGTCTTCTCTACTAACCTGAAAGCATGTCAAGGTTGCTTTGTGCACAGCCGCCAGTCAAGTTTTAATCCWYTGGARGAGAGCGTATGGTCGGATCAACGTCACACAATACACATTGAGTCACTCCCACATGTAAGGTCAATACGGGTTACTGTACGAGGCCCTGCCCCATGTTGTGTGCTCCCTGAGGTGCGCGTGGCGATTAAGTTAGTATCTGACGTCCGTTATCCCGGTATTCGTTTTACAGAACTGCTTGTCTGCCCGGCCTGTGTATTGACAGCTGGAACAAGCAAACCTCATGTCATTGGAGAGGTCCAGGATAATAACAATATATGTCCAAAAGGCCATGCAGTCGGCGGGAAGATCGATTTAATGACCGGTCGGATTATCGAAAGCTTTGAAATTCCCAATATCAGGAAACTGTCAATGATCAGTTCAGCAATTGAGAAAGGACAGAACATTCTAGAAGATCGTCTTTGCCCAAAGCTATTCGTAGTTCTACCAATACAGTTTAAACCACAGCCTTTCAAAGATTGTCGCGTCATGGATCACGTGATTGATGGCTATGCTGTTCACTTCCTGTGTGAATGTCCCGGATATTGGCATTTGATTCCATTCCCAGGCTACCGCGTGAGGAATCTTGATGCGTTTTTTAGTGCCTTTGGGGCGCGTGTTGCTAARCTTATGAAACTGATCTTCATGCTAGGAGCTGATGACAATGACACAATCACCTACCCCTCCCTGAAGAATCTTTTGCTCAAGGTGGCCATAGGACATCATTCACAGARGGAGCTAGTAGTTGAGAGTATTAAGACCCTAGTAGASCACTATTGCAGTCTTTATCCCAACCTAATGCAAGAGTGTTCTTCATTCTTGTATGAAGATGTCAGTTATTTGGTCAGYGGTAAGGGATTGAGTCGCGCTAAACTTGCCCGCATACTCGAAGTCGTCCCKAATGGAACGCAGTTTGGACCTCTGGTTTGTACCTTCATCGAGAGACATGGGGAGAGGATGTGGCTTTGTCATAAACACGCTGAACCTATATCCAGCGGAAACGCCAATGGACATGCGCAGATAACTTGTAATGAGTAATTAACAATAAATAGGTCATTAWTGCATATCGGTATCCTACCTGCAGGCGTTCTAAGTTGRTTCTTTTTCCATTTTTCTCTCGTCCTCCGAACAGGAACACCTGCATGTAGAAAGAGATGGTTAGGTGTAAGAATTGATGCTYTGGCAATTGAACACACTGTGCAAAAAAGAATTAACGAAAAATTGTGATAACTGTAACGTATTTTCAAAGTGCCTTTCAATTGGCTTTAAATTGCTCRAAATTGACTAGGTTTCGTATGGCCAAGAAATGAGTCACAGCCACCTCTAGTTGTGGTCACAAGATCTATACCGTTGGCACAGTAATTGACTTTAATTATCGAATGATAATAATAAATATGTTCATCGGCACCTCTCGCAGTAGTTCTAGATCGGACCCAGGTCCTTTTCTGAGAAAAGAAAATGGAAACGAGGTTTTATATAATCAATCATAATGCATTATATTTTGTATGTTTTGATAWAAGAATGTAATTAAAGTATTGCTAAAGTTTATGGTTCGGATTATTTTATGCTCATATGGGGTGGGGTGGGGAGACATTTGGCGCAAGAAAATCGTACGACGATATAGATWTTTCTTTCTCACTATTGGTGGGAACTAGCGGTAAACTAGTGTGAGCTGCGTCGGTGTTTCTAAAGAAACAGTTATGTAAAAAGATAAATTTAAGACCGTAAAAAGTATGTGAAATAACTTACTGACGTTTCGGACGTTTATCCTTCGTCCACTTTTACTCCGACGAAGGATTAACGTCCGAAACGTCAGTAAGTTATTTCACATACTTTTTTACGGTCTTAAATTTATCTTTTTACATAACTGTTTCTCACTATTGACCCTATCACTATTCATTTATCTCCGTTCATTTCCATTTGGAACAAAAGGCGCACTTAGCAATCTTACGGAGGCTATTTGAATAAACTGCACGTGGGAATATCGCCTTCATTTAAACTGTCATTGTTAGGCAAATATGATTTGAGCCCGGGAGAAAGACGTTGTGTACACTCAATTCTGGAGAGTTAGCATGTCTACTAGAAGAGAAAGTTCTCTTATGCACGGCTTACGTTATGGGTTTAATGAAGAACTCAGAAGCTACAGAAATTACCTTCACCTGGACGCTTGACGTTAAAGAAGTCACTATTTCAAAATTATTGGGGTCAGGAGGCTTTGGAAGTGTGTATGAAGCGACTTACAAGAACACTAAAGTCGCGCTTAAGCAACTGCACACAAACTGCAAGAACAAGAAAGCTGCCATGCAAAGTTTTAGAGCGGAGACAAGACATGAAGTTTTAGCACTCATGAATCATCCTAATATTGTCAAAACTCTTGCAGTTTCAAACGCTTCTTCGCTGGACGATGAACCTTGTTTTATTATGGAATACGTCAGCACAATGACTTTACAGCACGCACTCAATAATCCTCTCGAGAAATTTGATGATTTTAGGAGAATCAAAATAGCAACACAAATTGCGCGGGCCTTAGTTTATGTTCATCAAAATGGCATTGTACATCTTGACTTAAAACCTGTAAATGTTTTAATGACAACAGACGGTGATTGCAAGATTGCTGACTTTGGCTGTTGTCAGTAYATCGAGGACCGTCCAAACACTCCTTCCCGCAGCTACGTCACAGGGACTATTGCGTACCGAGCACCTGAGCTCCTAAAAGGAGAGGACCCTACATACAAAGCTGATGTCTATTCATTTGGAATATGTCTATGGCAGCTCTGGACGCGGGATACCCCTTACAAAGTCCTAAACCATCAAGTTGTTATATTTCGTGTCGTAGCTTGYAATTTAAGACCMGCAATTCCCGAGGGACTGGATAACCGTTACGTAGACCTRATGACGTCATCATGGGCAGCCAAAGGCGACGACCGTCCMGATATGGAGAATATCKCAARCACACTCKCAAGTTGGTCAGTAAAGCAAGAACATACTTAAGGCCCACCCATCCCCTATTAGTAACTTATCGCTCCAGAAATGTACATATATTTATATTTATAATTCATGAAATACATATATTTATTTTAAAATATTAATCATATTAATCATTAATGCTTAAACTGAACAATACATGAAGAGCTCTCTTTCGATATTTTTGTTGTCTGCATGATCACATGCACWAAGGAATTGAAGTCGAGGCTCKGGGGAACAAGAATCCTTTTGTTTTCACGAGGCCTCGTCTTTACTTCTTCAKTTTGTGTCTGGTAAGTCAATAAGAATATAGAAAGTGTGATATTCATGAAGTCGACCCCATGCACTTGTTGTTAGGRAAGGTCTACAGAGCATTCTATTTTATTCATCAGTATTCATTCGTTTTGTGTGCAATATTGTAGTATTTGATAAATTGAATAGTCGATTTGCGAATTTCATTTCAGTAGTCACACAAAAAGGAATCAAGATGAGGTGTTATGCATAAAGCGYAGTTATCCGTGAAAAGACGAWTATTTTTCACGATTGTCTGAGCCCTATGCACGCACCTCGTCTTAACTCCGTTTTGTGTGACTACTGAAGTAAAATTTGCAAGTCGAGTATTCGCACTTGAAAAAAACAAAGTAATACTTTATTAAATATTTATACAGATAGAGGACGCATTATATATGATATAAAAGAGTGTATCTATCATAGAGAAAGATATTTATCGAATATAYAGAGATATTATATAAATTATATACTGATATACATATATAAATAGAGAGAGTGATATATATTTCAGAGTGAAAGTATTATTTATTAATTATCTAGAGTAATAAATACGATTGTAAATAGTATGGAGACGTATTTCGTAAAATACATTTACACCTTACAGTAAAAACGCTATCATAGAGAAAACAGCAATTGTGTTTTAAGTAACAAAAAGGAATACATTAAAAAAACACACATTGAAAGCGTTCAGTCTGAGTAATGTTTTTTTTTGTCTTTTGAAGTATTCCATTTTACTAAAGTTCAAATGGTCTGTCAGTCTCTATGACGTAGTTTTTACAATTAGGTGTGTATCAATTCACTTCTTCAATGTAGTGGGAGCCATGCAGTGTATGAATGATTGCATATTTCGTCGTTTTCTAATTCAGACGATCCGTCCTTAAAATGCCACTCCTTGTCATGGAAGATTGATTTCCAGAGGTGGATGGACTTTGGACCTTGGGACTTTGGACAYTACTGAACGTGATTCATTTCCGTTATACACTTACCAATGATCTTCAGTTGTTTTGYGAATTCTCACTCGTCCAGAAAATAGAAAGATTTCACAAGCATGAAAGTGTATCAGTTTTTCTCCAATATTTTCATTAAAGACTTGATTTGACCGGAAGTGGAATTTTTTTTTGAGACAAGCACGTGGTCTAGTCAACAGTTAGCTTTCGAACTACAAAATAAGGGCTTCCATTTTCAAAATCCACACACCTTATCTATTGATTATATTATCAGTGAACTAGATACACTAGTTTACGGCTAGTTCCCACCACCAACTAGACATATGATTGGTTGTAAGAATATATTAACCGGAAGTGAAACCTTCGTCTCTCCGAAGCGGAAAGCTRAATAATGATATATATGCACGTGTTGATGAGCCCTGTGTCGTTCCTATATACCGTCTCACTCTTACTCTGATATATAATTGCCGTTTTGAGATAAAGAAATCCCCCCTTAAACAAAAGCGATAACAATAACGAATAAAGTAAACTGAAACTTGTACATCTATTTCACTTTTTGGGTTCTTTGATTATTCAAAATTTATTAAATGAATCAAATTCTCTAATTTCTTTCGTTTGTTAAATCCTTCCATCTTTATTTTTGCACTTTTCATTTTGTCAATTTACAGCAGGCGTTCCTCGCACGATATGACATTACAAGCACTCTGATTGGTGGATTTTCACGTGACGTGTCTYTGGCACCATATCGAGGTACAAAAGCTGTGCTCGAACGTTTCATCCTCTCTCTTCCAAAACGAGGATTTAGTTCAAGAAGTGCTAACACTTCTTCAACGTTTTAACCTTCGGATCTAAGTTCCTGAGCTTTTTAGTTAGCTCACAAGAGTGGCCTACTGAAGCAGAAACTTTATCCGGGACTGATTTATCGGAACAGTATCCATTGCTAGTCAGGTGAGAAGACTTGTGTCACGGTACCTCGACAATGTGCGTGTGTGATTGTAAARTCGGTTTTCGGTTSATTTACGTGTATTTTTCKTGTTATTTTGTTGTATAGTGGTACTGCAGATCCTGACCGGAATACGGACAAGAATAATAGAACATGGAATTAATAAACGGTAGTATTTCACCCGATGCTTCCATGTTTTCTGCCGGCTCCATGTACAGTGGTGGTACAGCTCCTGGCTACCTACCGAATGGCGGAATGCCTCCAACATACAACGTTAAAGTTGATGTAAATGGTGGATTAGATTCTGAAGGATACGAACCGCCAACATATGCCGAGGCATTCCCTCCTTTGCCCTGTTCAAACTCACCCGATCAACATCAAGCAGAAACCACTAAACCTTGGCGAGGGAAGTCGACGACTGTGACCCAGGTTTGTGAACTTGCAACTGTGTTTGATTTAGATATGTGAATCATGACTGTTCCTAACTAAAACCCATATTATCARAAATCGAAATCTGTGTTCTTAGAATAACTGTGATTCTTTGTCTGKATTGTATGTGAGGTGAGACTCAGCTGTTTTTGAAAGTAGCGTTTTCTTTGCCTTTGCAGTGTTTCTCTTTTCGTAGCTCTCATTTCCATTCTATCTCAAAAGTTAGAAAATGTGTTATCGCACTACTTATTATAAAGTAATTAATTCATGTCTCTGTCGTTAAAAAAKATATTTTTACTGTAAATTTGTATTCGTTGTGTGGTAGAATAGAGTAGCTGCGATGGCCTTTTGGGACGAACTGGTACCTAGTAATACGCCACGTTTACATTTAGAAACCCTTTGATTTCAGACAACAACAGACCATTATGATWGTAGAAAGAAACTACTTTTAATAACAAAGTTATCTGGTTTTTCCTTCAGAAACTCTCCAYCATAACTTTCGATTGTGACTGTGATTTGAACAGTCGTAATGTTACTGATCRATCATATTGTAGAATGTAAAAAAAGGCCATGAATTATGTAGATAAACTCAAATTTTTGTGATGAAATTTGTTGACATTTTTTTGGGTTGTTTACAACGGGTTATTTTCACCCTGTCTTTTCGATTTTAAKACATTTTATTATGTATCTTGGTTAGTGCTTTTTACAACAACAAAAGAGTTGCGAAATTTCAAGTTGAAATGCAATAGCAAATTGGATTTCTTGTTAATTGTTCCAACTATTTGCCTGGACCATMGAGAGGAAATTTAATAAATTTCACGAAAATTCGATTAAAAAGAACTATCAAAGAAAGGGATCATCATTTGTGAGGATTTTCTTAAAGTTAGCTCTYAATGAAAGTACAACTGTTACATGTTATAGATGACCTTGGCTACAAGATTTCGTTTGTTATTTATAGTCTTGCAAATATTATCATTAAAGATATCTACATGTTCTTTATATTTTACAAGTCTTTCGTGTTGTTATATGGTTAGTATATTTTCATACAGCTGCTTGAAGTTAGTTTTTGGGTAAATGAAAATCAAATCATTGCTTTTAATAAATATCCCTGAAAGAGTAAAACAGATTTTAAGAACAATTAGTATTGTATACTAATGACTGAATTAGCTGTTTTTAACCTGATTTGTGGCTTTTTATCATCAGCTTATATTTCTTTGAAGTTCTTTTTGTGAATTGGACATGTTACTTTAAACTCAGCTGAACAAATCCTGAATTCTGAGTTATGAAAGACATGCTTAATCTTGTCTCTTGTGTCCTAGGCAACATGTCATGGGTTACCTAGTAACTGGAGTTAGACTTAAGCATTGCCATGCCAGATATATTTTATTTTCTTGTCGAATGTGTTTGTTTATTTAAGTCGTTTTGGTGGGGACACCGTGCGTGTCCCAGAATAGAACTGAAAATGTTAAATGTARCGGCAGCATTTTTTATCACGTCATCTTTTGCTATTGTGTTTTTTTTTCAAATCAATGAAACCATATGATCTGACATGTTGAAAATTGATATATCCTCATTAATTTTATGTTGTYAGCAATTTAAGACCAAATTTTAGTGGCAATGATTTCTAGCTGTTGTTTTTAACTCAGGATATTTTTCCCTTCAATGAGGTGGTATTTGAAGTGTTTTTCCTCTTAAATATCATAAAGAGATTTGTGTTAAGAATAGCATTACTGCTCTTATTCTGGTGTATTTATAGCTGATACATTGTTTTCAAAAGAACCTTGTTTAACACTAAACATTTTGCTTTTGAAAGATCCCAAAATCTTGATTATGAAAAAAAAAAGTTGAACAGAATTAAGTTAGAGGAATTAAGTTTGACATTTGACCAGTTTGGTTTCCTGTATAACAGCAGTTGCTTGAACTTTTTGGTTTGTTTAGTCTCTGATTAAATTTTTCCACCAGAAATTCATTTGTTGATATGGTTTTCTCTGACAAATAACTGTTATGTTTTCGGCTGATTATGATCTTAGTAAAGAGCGAGTGTGTGTTTTCTTTTTTGCCAAAAAATGTAGTATTAGATACTGAAAGCATTTTGTTATGAAATTTTTTATGAAAGTTATGTAAAGTTTTTTATGAAAGTTAGTAAATAAATTGAAAAAGGAAGGCATCCTATCAGCTCCATCTAAAATAAGCTAGGAGGTCCTTTTTGAAAACCATTTCTTTGTAAATGAAAAAGTTTCCTCAATAAAGATTATTATTATTAAGCTTCAAGAGTAACTTCTGTCTATTCATTTAAAAGGTGTTTAAAGTTCCTCTAGAGGAGCGTCGTTTTGCTCAACTAAAGGACAGTGTTCTTGGTGATGAACAACAAGGAATTTGCCGTGACATAATGAGTAAGACTGGAGCCGCCATTGAAATCAGCCTTGCTAAAGACCTTAGTCTAACTATCATGGTGACTGGAAAACAAGATGCTGTTGCTCAAGCTCGTCGTATGGTCCTTGCAAAACTCCAAACTCAGGTACAGTTAGAGAGTTCTTCTAATTTATTTGTGATGTAAGGATAAATTTTAAGAAGAGAATACATGTTCTTCTTAATATTTAGGACATTGGAACTTTTCCTTTTGTTCTGGTATAAGACAAAGTCTCAAGTCTTTAAACATTAAGTGTGATGTATTTTTGTTGCTATCAGAAGTGTGTTATGTGGGAAGATATAGTGCTAATAGCATTGTGAGAGGGGTGGAGGCTGTCAAAAGGAAGCCCCTGTGAAGCCAGAGATTGAATTTTAATATTCATGATTTTCTAGGCTCAAATTGAGATTCACATTCCTCGTGAGCACCATGGCTTCATCTTAGGAAAAGGAGGAAAGACTCTACAGAACCTGGAACTGAATACAGCCACCAAAATCACTATCACACGTGACTCTGACGTCATYAGAATTGTTGGGACCAAGGAAGGAGTGGATAGAGCACGTCATGAGATTCAAGTTATTTCTGATGAACAGGTATATTTATAAACACATAATAGTTCTACTTATTTTCATCAGTTATTTTAGTCTTAGTCATGAGTTCTCTCTTTTCTTCATTGACACATGCATTTATTTATGTAGAGTTCAGTTAGTTTCTTTTTGTAAAGTATACTACACTAAAACCACAATTCAATTCTTTTAAAGGCTAAGCTAGCTTTTGAAAGACTTGCCATYCCAAAGACCTTTCATCCATTCATCTGTGGGCCTAATAATGATATTGTTAAGAAGATTATGGAACAGACAGGTGCAGTCATCAACATCCCTCCACCATCCATGCAGAAAGATGAGATGACTGTTGCTGGRGAAAAAGAAGGAGTTGCTGCAGCTGTAAAAATGATCACTGGCATCTATGAAGAAAAGGTTATTATTGTTCATTTGTTAGTTTGCAAGTCCTTAAAGTGTTTAACTATAGATTTCTATCTTCATCTCTTAATCTATCTATTTATATTATAGTTAAGGGAACTAGCCATTTAACAAGTGCATCTATCTTACAGATGGTTTTTGTTGTTGTTTTTTTTTTGCAATAGAAACGCAAGACTACCACTGTATCAATTGAAGTGCGCAAAACCCAACACAAATATGTCATTGGACCCAAACGYTCAACCATTCAGGAAATCCTCCAATTAACAGGAGTGTCAGTTGAAGTGCCACATCCTGATAGTGACTCAGAGACCATCACCTTGAGAGGCGATCCTGACAAACTTGGCATGGCTTTGACCCAGGTTTATGAGAAGGCAAACAGTGTCATCTTTGCTGAAGTTGAGGCTCCAAGATGGCTGCATCGATTCATCATTGGACGTAAAGGACAAAACATCAGAAAAATAACTCAAGACTTGCCAAAGGTGGGATAATATTTCTTGATGACATTGATCTTCATTGTCGATTTTCATTTAATGTCATGATACATTTATTATTAGCCATGTTGCATTTCAGTTTTTTCAACATCAATATCTACGTTTTGTATCATCAACATGGCYGCCAATCTCAAGGATTGATTGATTTATGCATCTGTTTCCAGGTACATGTTGAGTTCAGTGGTGAGAAAGATGTGATTGTCCTTGATGGCCCACCAGAGGAGGTTGAAAGAGCCCGTGAAGCACTTGAAACCTTCATAAGGGAACTGGTAAGCTATCTTTATTTCACCCTCTTCTTTCTTCTTTATTTACTTGAATTGTATAAAGAGTGTAAACTGTTAATTGTCCTTGCTTAGTTTCTGTTTCTGAACTCTTAATCTTCAAGTTAATTGAGAAACTGAAACAAGTTTAAAGATGAACTCCACTCTACAGTAGCAGTGCACCTTTGAGAATAACTGTTGTTTTACTYCGTTAGATTGCATCCATGGCCTTTGCTGAAATCCCTGTCGACCAGAAATTTCATCCTCACATCATTGGCAAGAATGGTGTTAACGGTAAGATCTCAGAAACCMAAAAAGAAATGCACATGCTAGCAAACATACAAAACAAATCAACTAACATGAAAAAATTAATCACAAACAAACAGAACGATCTTGATTAAATAAGTTTGTTGTTATAAGTCACTTYTTTCAACTTCAGTGATGCGCATCAAAACTGAAACTGGAACCTCTATCATCATCCCRCCCAACAATGTCAAAAGCAACTGCATCAGGATCGAGGGCTCCCCACAGGGCGTTGAAGTTGCAAAGAATGAAATTCTAATGATGACCAAGAAATTGGTAAGAACTCGTTTAACACAATTTATCATTTAGAGTAGTTTTCCTTCAACCATGAAAAGAAATAGACCAACTAAATAGT